CAGCTTTTTTTAGTTAACCCGCTGCCGCCGCAACAGCAGCAGCAGGCGCCACCTCAGCAGCCGCCACCGCAGGAACCCATCGCCAGGTACGCACTTTTTTTCTTTCATGCTTCATATTCATTCAGAAGATCAAAACCAACTAGTATTTCCTTTTCTGATTGATCAAATCTTTATTTCATCTGCAAACAGGCCGGTATATTACGCTGATAGGGTTCCTAGCAACACCACCGGCATGAACCCCATTCCTGATCCCAAACGCGACGTTCCCATTTCCAGCTACGTTCTTACCTCAATGCAACCTCCTGATCAGCAATTCCGGCAGCATCCATCTCACGTCCAGCAGTTTCAGCAGCAACAGCAGCAGCAGCAGCAACAACAACCACCACCACAGTTCATTCAAGCAAACCCTAACCCCCAATATATCCATCATCCTGCAACCGGCACTGTCCTCTCATACCCAGCCTACTACCAAATGCCCATACAACAATCCCAGCAGTCTCATCCCTATGATCAGCAGCAGTACCCTTTCTACTACCTCCCTGTCCGTCAGAATCCCCCACCTCCACAGCCTTACAACATGTCTATCGCCACTTCTCATCCAGATGTCTCTTCTCAGGTAAAGCCGGCTGCTGCCACCACCTTCTCAAAACCAATCCCTGCTAAGCCTGAACAGCAGGCAAATATATACCGAATGGCTGCCATGGGACCGCCACAACCTAATAATGCTACACCGCTACCAACTACTGTGTCTCAGCCTCTAATCCACCTCTCATCTGATCAAGTCCATCCATATTCTGGGATGAACTATCATGTAATGCATCACCATCATCCTTCTCAACAGCAGCCTGCTGCTGCTGCCACCACCACCACAGTGGCAGCTAATTTTGGATATGAGCAGACAGGGATTCCTCCAGTTTACTACACTCAGACGACCTCTCCGCCGGGATTGGCTCCGACCCAGTATCAGACTATGGTGACCTCCCCTGATGCCGCCACGGCCGCGGTTGCAGCTGCCTCCATTCTTCAGCCTGGCGAGGTTAAGCAGACAAGAGCTTCATGATGTAAGTAATAAGTATTTTGAGAAACTGAAACTCTGATCTGGCTTGCATGTTATTTGATTGTGTTTCCTTATTATATGTTGTGTATTGTTATTATTTCATGTTTTAGTATGTTGTGGTAGGAATAAGAGGTGTTGAATGTTCTATGTCTCTTCTGTTTGTGGTTGTTAGGTGAACCACCAGTGTGGGTGGTCTCACCCTTCGCTGCTGCCCTGCATCTGAAGCAGAAACTATTGCTATGAGTTTTTTGGTATCTATAAATAAACATATTACAGCAATTATGGAATCTGTCTAAAAGTGATAAAAAAAATGTGTTTGTTGTGTAGAACTCAGCTACATAAGCTGATATTATGCATGGTTTCTCAATGATTAGTGATTTTGTTTGCTAATGTTTGCAATGCCTTGACTCTCTTCCCTTTTAAAGAAGTTAGCATTTAAAGCATTAATATTTTTTGGAAAATATACATGCATATAACTCCATCTCACACTAAACATTAGTCGATCACAGTCAATAAAGTTATGCTTTCATCCAACTGGCTAAAGATCAACCGTATCCAATCTGATATGACAGTCTTTAACCAAGAGTCAACTAACACTTAGAATAACCCTGTGATTGTTTATAAGGATCCTAACTTAATGCCCAAAATATCACAAAGGTTATCCTGATTTTCCGCAGAAGTAGAATAACAAATTTTAGATTTTATATATATCTAGCCTGGAGCTCCATATAGTCCGCAAAAGGCGATAAGGGTGCTACGAAGAGACTTAAGGGTATTATCATTAGCATGATTGTAGGCAAGAAGGTCATCAACATCAATCACATTGCTATTGAAAATATTGTTGGAGATAATCAAGAGAGAGAGACAATTGGTAGCAATATTAAAGTGAATGTTGGAGATAATCAAGAGAGAGAGAGAGACAATTGGTAGCAATATTAAAGTGAAGCCATTAGAGGAATGAAAAGATCCTTTGTTTTGGCCTTTGATAACATCTAAGAAAGAAACTTATTTGATGTAAGCATCCACTCAATTAATAAAAATATTAAAAGAAGTTTTTTGGGTAAGCATTTGAAGGTCTATCTTGGCGAGGACAAGCTTTAGGGGATAATCTAGTAAAGCAAGGGGGATGTTTTTACCTGCATGCTACTTAATTCTTTTGTATTTACATGTCCAATACCTAAGCTTGAATTGTTACATCCATGTCATGTTACCTGTGTATGAAATTGTGTATTTTACTTTTTAAATGTTAAAATAGTGATGTTTTTGATGTGACATGCAAGATTTCGACTGTATTAATGTGAAAGGCAAACTTTATGTTTTAGATATGTAAATACATAGGAATTAGGTGGGAAATTAAAGGCAGCACACAAGGAAATTGGACTAAAATCGAATAAAGTGTTGGCATGACGCTGCTTAGCGTTAGTGATAAGCAATGGCACTGTGCTTAGTCATATCAAAAAGCTTCCTGATTTAAAAAAAATGTGTTGTGCTGCAAGAGTTATGTTACAATTCCATAATATAAATATTCATATTCTGAATGAGCTACATGCCACATAATGCTTTGTATTTACATATCTAAAACCCAAATTTTAATATTTACATGCATACCATTCAAATTTTTAATGTCACATCACAAATATGCTATCCCCTATGATAATTTCATCTTTTCATGCCTTAGATTATCACATGCAACATCTAAAAGCCAAATTTTAATATTTAGGGTTTTGGTTTCAAATTTTTAATGTCACATCACAAATATGCCATACCCTATGATAATTTCATCTTTTCATGCCTTAGATTATCACATGCAAGTGTTATAAATATAAATATGAAACTTTAACTGTTTGATATGTAAATATGTATGAATTGTCTGGTATGTATGTAAATTTACCCTTTTTTCACACTTGGCTTCTTAGGAGTTATTATTCAAAGCATACATCAAGCTCATATAAGAATGCAACCCCCATCTGAAAAATGAACTCAAAAATTGACTAATCATATCGTAAGAGTAGAACATCAAACCATCTGAAACCTTTAACAAAAGCAATTATCTCACATTTAACATTTTTTTTAATTATATTTCTTCTAAATTTGCATAACATGTATTCTTTATTTATGATATATTTTTATACTATAAAGATTATCATCATGAGAGGTCAGTAGGTTTTGATTAAAAAAACTCGTGAAAGCATTTATCATTTTAATTTTATATTATTTTAAAGTTGTGGTAATTATACCGAGATTACGCAGAACTTGTTATTTACAAATCAATCACTCTTTTCATTCATTTTTCATAATCTCATTCAAATATCAAAATTCATGGTAAAATCCCAACCCATTTTTTTTCATTTTTATCAAATTCTTAATAGTTTGATCATGACACATGTAGATTGGGTGGTTAACTTATAAACATCAATGTTTTGGGCGGTTTGCATGAAATTATTCCTTTAAAGTAATGTATTTATAAATATTTGTACCTCAAAGTGGCATATCACATTATAATGCAAAATATGGTAAACTACTTGCATCAAAATCATGTTGTGGCAATATTTCAAACTTTTAAAATTCGTCATTCCATTTGATTATGAAGAGCTTCAATTTGTACAATGTTGAAGGTGGTTAAATATCTAATTTAATCTAATGCTTTTTAAGCCTAAACACCCAACTATTAAAATTAATGAATTGCACTTGAACACACATCATATTGGTTGAAAATACAATGAATATTTTGAAATGTTGGATTTGAGCGCTTACTTAACTCGACAATAGGGAAACAAATGATTTGTGCCTTGTAAGAGGCTCAAATATATCCTAATGGTGTCTTGAGTAATAGCCATCAGCCCTCATCATCCCATATAGGAAGTGGAAATCTACTACATTGCATTCCCTCATCCTTTATATAAGTCATTGAATGCTTGTAATTGATGAGGTTGATTTGTGATCACATATGGTTCATCTTTTTTGTCTCTTTATGTATCTCGCGTTATTGTGTACCATCTTGGTGTAAATATAATTAAAATGGAATATACAATCATGTGATGCTAACTTCCTAAATTATATCAACTTGAGCGTATTAAACTTGAAAATTAATAGTTGATTAAAACATTAAAATACATATGTACATGTAAGAGACAGTTATGAATATGAAAATGTGTTATAATATCTTGTAACGTCTCTATTAAAAGAGAGACAAATATGTAATTATACACAATGTACTCTTGAAATCTATAAATAGGGTTAATGTCTACAATAAAATATGATTGCTTGACTTTATCAAGACTCTTGTGTTACTGTGCACACACCCTCTATTTCTCTCTGTTTTTCTCGTCCTTCCTATGCTCATATATTGGGTGTGATCTAAAATCTTGAATCTACAAGGAGCATTTACATACAAACCAACCAATTCTCATGTCTTTACATATCAAACATATTTTATACCATCCAAAACTAAAATCTTGAATCTACATTTCCTTAAGGAGCATTTACATACAAACCAACCAATTCTCGTGTCTTTACATATCAAACATATTTTATACCATCCAAAATTATTTATAAAATTGAAATATATATTCATGCAAGGTAAGGTAAAATTGAAGTGTATCCTTTAAATATTTAAATACATAGGAAATATATAATATGCATCCTTCATTATTTAAATGAGCATATATATATATATATTATTTTTTTCATTAATTTATTAAAAATTAAATGCATCTTTTTATGTATATATTTCTAACCCCAGGCTACAAATATAAAAATCTCTCTTTGTAAAGGTTGGAAGTCTGAAAAGCGGGATCAGGTTGGACTCCGCCCGTATGGACAATGAGCTGGCTTGTGTCCGTTGGCTGGCGTTTTCACGTGGCGTAGGGTTGGTGGAATGGCGTTGTTACAGGCGACTGTAGTGGAAGACTATTTGTGCCAATGTTTGTTTTTTTTTTTATTTAATTGGGTTCGTTGGGAGAAAAGGTGGGAACCGGGGAAGTTAGCTCTGTTTCTTTCGAGTGAGAGTGACGTGAAATTGCGAAGACTGTAGCGAGTGCAAGTTAGTCCGCCTGCGTCCATTATTACTCTTAACGTCATTAGGTAGACGTTGAACGGCACATTATTTTTTTCATAATTTTGTTGTATGTGAATTATGGTGGAGGTGATTTAGATTTGTCAAGCTTAGGGAAGACTTGGGATCTATATGACTTGAGATGTTGGGGGCCAAGTAAAGGGAGCTCGCTCAACAGTTCCGGGCATGGTCTCTCCATGCAGTACTCTCCACTTCCACTTCAACGCAATTAACTATTATTGCAAAGAGCAATCTCGACTAACCCGACGGGATTAAATCCATAAATCCAAAATGTAAGCGATGAGACGTACCAACGTAGCAATGTGGGATCCACATCTCAAATGTGGGCTAAAGACGACGCACGGGCACACGTCGGTCAACCCCTGACAGTGCTTTCTCTTGACAGATTGTCGAGGTTGTGGTACCCGGGCGATTTAAATTCTTGACCTTTGAGTCGTATCTGGGAAAAACTGATTAAATTGATGATGTTCGCTCCTTTGAATCGACTGTCTGCCTACTGAGTGTAAACAACACTTTGAAGTTCAATCTCTTTTTTATGAACTTTAAAGGGTCTGTGCTCATATGACTCAACAGCCTTTTGCCTAGAATAATCAACTTGTTAGCGGAATTCACGATGATGTTGGCGACACAATTTTCTAGTGTTCATACAACACGAAGAGACTCTCAAGCTTTGCTACAAGAACGTCAGGAGCAAGGGGAATCATTGCGCTCGTTTTCTAAAAAGCCATGTTGGAGGTACGAGATTTGGAACCCGCATTCACACATACAGCCCTTGCTCAAGGGCTGAGGGAAGGTCCTTTCTAGTATGCTTTGGGACTACAACAACCCAAAACATTAGTAGAACTATTGGAACTTGCCAATGATCATATTTTAGTGGTCTCTTGGACCTCCCAACAATCACACCCCAACCTTTAAAAAAAAGTTCTTACGACAACAACTACAAATCGTCATCCAACGTGATCAGCGACACCCCCGATATTAAGATAAACACTTCTGCCAAGAGACCTACATCTTTAGAAATACTGTGTGAATATGATATCAAGAAAGGAAAAAGGATTGATACCCAGATAAGTTACTAACATCGACACATCATATCCTTTACTCGACCCCACTCAGAGTCTCAATGGCAGAGACTGTAGAAGCCATTCTGAATAAATACTACTATTGAAAACCTGCGCCTATGAAAATCAGGGCTTATGTCCGTTACCTACA